TGATCCGGCTTATAACAAAGAAGGGTATTGCGCAGGTGGTCATCGCGAGAGTCCTGCTCTGCTCAACCTATGTGCCTTTTAATGTAAAGTTAATGATTAACAAATAATGAATTCACTAGATGGTAATGCTTCGTAAATGATTCATAGTGTGTAGTTATTATTCAGATTATGCGGAGTCACTGATTGGATCCAAGACCAGCGACGTGATGATCCCAAGGATTCCATATCCGGGACCAGGCCATATCCTGAGCTGCTGCTGCGCTGGTGGTCGTGTGGAGTGGAGAACATGAGTCTGATTCCAGCGACGCTCCAGGGACAGACGGGTCTTCGCTGAGGCCATCTTCCAGCCTAAACCACGGCGAATGAAGCTCTACACAAGACTTCTGGCCAGCGGAGAAATTAAAATGGTCGTGCCCAACTGAGTCTGGTTCCCTCAAGGTTTTTTTTCTTCACTCCATCAGGTGAAGTTTTTTTTCCCTCTCCGCTGTCGCCACTGCCTCGCATGGTTCAGGATTGGTAGAGCTACGCATCGATGAATTTGCTCTTCAGTGTTTGAACTCTCAGTAATGATTAAATCACACTGAACTGAGCTAAACTGAACTGAACTGAACTTAAACACTGAAACCTGAACCACACTTTTCCAGTTACTGAACCACACTGTTCCAGTTACTATGACCATTTATGTGAAGCTGCTTTGACACAATCTACATTGTAAAAGCGCTATACAAATAAAGCTGAATTGAATTGAATATAAAGTGTTACCACTATTTCTTAAAACAAGATTATTTTTCGGTTGTCTAGAAAATGCTTCTTGATTTACTGTAAGAACTTTTAGATATTTAAACTAAAAGCCAAGAAAATCCTATTTTGCAGTGTAGTTCTCTATGCAACATAAAGCTGCTTTCCTGCTTAACACCCAAAAGAGTTATGCTATGTGTACATAGTGTAATCAGTGTTTGTGTACCTGTTAATAATCCGGCACATGATGTGTACCAGCGCAGTGATGGACAGATGGTTGTGTAGTGAAGAGAAAAAGCCAAATACCTCTTACTCAGCTTCTCCTTGCCATCACACTCTGAACCCGTTCTCCGCAGACCCCCTGCACTCCAGCCGGTGACTAATGATTTCCACAGGCACAAAAAAAATCTCTGTATTTTATGTATCTGGCTTGAGGCTCAGATCCCTGAAGGACAGCAGGACAACCACAACACTGAAACGTTCAGGGCAAATGATGTGAAATTAGGACACACGCTGTCTTTGGGAACAATGATGTTTTATGTATGCGTGGGTGTGTGTATTTTTTAAGGTGCTAAATAGCTAGACTGTGCTGGCATATTGTGAGGGAAAGATTGCTTTGCACTGCATTGTGTTTGGAAACGAGCTGAAACCATCTGTCGCAGTAAAGCACTCATATGCTATTAATTTCTTACTTAAGAACACAATGACGTACTGCATGACCATACTAGATGAAAAAAACGAACACACGGTAACTTCCTGTAGGCCAGAAACATGATGTCAGGCTCTTCCAGACTGCTTATCATCAGATTTGTGCTGTCACTTATTTCAAAGCACTGTTTACATCAAGCAAGCATGTGAATTGGTTGGATATGTGCCAAATGAAAGAGGAATGATTATGTTCATCATTTTAACATCAATTTAAATACATTTGTTTAGGCTTGACATATTGTAACATTTGTTTATAGTTTTATTTCATTCCTGTTCAGTTCTGGATGTGTCCATATGCAAATTTCCATCACAGTGCTGCTGTGTGATTGGCTGATTAGATATTCGTGTTAGCATAAGTTTTAACTGGGGCTCGTTTTGCTGTTATGGTCATTGTTATTTGATTTTTAGAGTCAGTATTTTCTTTTAATAATTTTTTTGTAATTATTTACATTTTTTTTATTCTATAATCTTTATTTTTTGCTTTTTTTAAACAGAATATTCCAATCTTAAATAACCGAGTCAAACTTAATATAACATTTAACAATAGTAGCCAGAGAATACAATGAACAAAATGACATTTAGACAAATAGTTACATAAATAGAATAAATAAATAATGAAACAATAAAACAAAATAATAACTATAATAAATTGGAATAAATAATAATAATAATAATAATAATAATAATAATAATATTAATAGTAACAATAATTATAATAACAACAATAATAATAAAAACATTAATAATAATGATAATAAGAATAATAATGATTATAATAATAATACTAATAACAAAAACAATAATAATAATGATAATAATAAATAATAATAATAATAAATAATAATAATAACTAATAATAATAATAACAACAATAATAATGATAATAAGAATAATAATAACAATGATGATAATAATAATACTAATAACAAAAACAATAATGATAATAATAATGATAATAATAATAATGGTAATAATAACAACAATAATAATAACAATAACAACAACAACAACAACAACAATAATAATAATAATAATAGTAATAATAATAATAATAACAACAACAATAATAATAATAATAATAATAATAATAATAAAAATAACAACAATACTACTAACATTAATAATGATAATAATAATACAGGTAACAATAATAATGATAATAATGATGAAAATAATAATAATTATAATAATAATAATAAAGATAATGATGATATAATAATAATAACAATATAATAACAACAACAACAACAACAATAATAAAAAATAATAATAACAATACTACTACTAATACTAATGATAACAATAATAGCAACAATAATAATAATGATGATAACAACAATAGCAACAATAATAAAAATGATAAAGATAATAATGATAAATATTCTATTATCATTATTATCATTATCATTATCATTATCAGTAATAATAATAATAATAATAATAATAATAATAATAATAAAGTACACATTAAGGGTTTAGGCATTTTCGATTTATCTTAGACTTTACATACAATCTAAAAGATAAAAGCTTCATAATTTCTTTATTTACAACATTTTCTCAATCAGTGCAAGAAATTACCCCCAAGTTTTCATACACCGATCAAAGCCTCCTGAGATTTTAGATATCCGTCGTTCATAGCTAACAATGCTGGACATGATTTCTTACCATTCATTAAACAAAGAGTGCATAATAGATTACCAACGTCTTACTGTAGAATAATTCTACATCCAGATTCCATAGCAAGACGGCACCATTTCCTTTACTCCTAGAGTCAATTTTTTTTTTTTTTTAAGATTTATTTTTGTCCTTTTTGCCTTTATTAGATAGGAAGTATTTAGACAGGAAGCGAAGTTGGAGAGAGAGAGGGGGGTAGGGAAATGTCCTCGAGCCGGGATTCGAACATGGGATGCCCTGCTGCACCATGTCAATGCGCTAACCACTAGGCAATTTTGCCGACCCTACAATCATTATTATCTGAAATCAGTCACTTGTCCATATCCCCTAAAGTTTCATCATGTTGTGTTCAAAATGTTTACCTCAGTAAATTTGTGGGGCTTTAGTTTGCATTTTTATTTTTAATTATAAATTAGGTCATAAATCAACCAGTGTCATTGATCATTAGCAGGCCTGCACGGAATCTGTATACACATTTCCACATATATTTGAGCCCATCGTTCAATCTATTTATTTGCTCGTGTAAATGTGTAAATATACATATATTCATTCATTCTCCTTCGGCTTGGTCCCTTTATTTTTCAGCGGTCGCCACAGCAGAATGAACCGCCAACTTATCCAGCATATGTTTTATGCAGCAGATGCCCTTCTAGCCGCAATCAAACACTGGGAAACAGCCATACACACTCACAAATCACACTCATACACTACAGCCAATTTAGCTTACCGAATTCTCCACATGTGTTTGGACTGTGAGGGAAACTGGAGCACCCTGAGGAATAATATTGAATAATATGGAAAAGTATTGATGCTTTATTTACAATACAGTTTTATTAAGTCATATAGTCTTTTAGTAGATTAATTATATGACAGACTTACTTTGTTTACCAAACAAGTTCTTCTAATTGGATCTGCTTTGTATAACATAAATAAAATGTTATTATCTATTTTATTTCATGTGTTAAGCTACTCTCAAAATCCTTCCTCATAAATCTTTCTGCACAGAAATAGCAAAAAAAAATATCCACCGATTCTGTCTGGCCCTAATCATTAGTGCGCCCTCCAGCTGGACACCACAATTATGAGTTTAATTTCTCCACGAAGGAGTGTTGTCCTGGTGGAGTCCTCAGGTTATTTTGGGTGTGTTTGTCTCTCTGTCCCAAAAGTCCTCAGAAACGGCACACCAAATCAATGCTTCTGTCCTGAGATTGTAATGAGAGAGAGAGCTGTGAGAGCCTCAAAGACGAGACCTCTATGCCCTCTTAACAAGAAGCTTAGATTTGATCCTTGTATAAAGAGCCGTGTGGTTTTATGCTTGAGCGGATGGGCTGTTTTCAGGAGGGCCTGTTGTGTATTTCCATTAACCACATGGGCTCCTCTGCTCAGCGATAGCATTATTTTGAACACAGACTCATTGGAAATATGTGCTTCAGCTTGCATTTTTTTCTGTGAAACTGCATAAACGTACATCAACACATGCTTGACTGCAGTTTCAAGGTAAAATGAACGCTACCGAGCAGAATGATGCCAAAAATTTTTGTTCCTTTTCACCCTATTTATGGAGACATGCAGTTCTTTGCACAACACCAAAATAAATACCACTAAACAATTCAAAGGTGTCTATGATTTGTAATGGATTATGTTTTTGTCACCGAGCTATCTCCATGTGGACAACATTTCTGGTGTGGACATTTTGCTCGTAGCTTAGTTTGTATGGTGTTGAGTGTTCTGATTCGAGTCCAGTGAAGCACTCGTCCACAAAAGAGGTCAAATCAAGGTCAAACTAATTAGGTTTGCTTTTAGAAGCACTGTTTGAAATTAGGCTTTAGGTAAATGGTTAACTAGGTAATCTGTAGGAAAGGCGCCAGCTTCAGGTGAACATGTACAAGAAGGATGTGTATCTGAAACGTACAGTGGCGTAGCGCAAAATGCAGAGGCCCCCCTGCAGGGATCGCTGACGGGCCCCCTGATGAAGGGGGGGAGAGATACGTCATACGTCAATTTGCATATCACTGGCGTCATCACGTTCTACCGTTTCTGTTTAACAGCCTATGGTTAATAAAGGGGCATTTATAAGTGCACTACACTTTATATAAGCATGTTTATTTAACTACATTTATTGCTGTTTGAATACAGTATGTCATTATAGATATGTAGTGAATGTGCAGTAATCTCTCATATGTAATAAACTCAGACAAGTTCAGAAACTGTCACTAATATCTGTGATTGTGAACAAGAAAAGAATAAACGGTCCAATTAAATTGTTAAAATAAAGTAGAAGTACATCGGTTTGACTGTACAAGGGAAATACCTTCACACTGCCTGTGCTAAATCATTTGTCGTCGGTATGCAGAGGGGTGATCTGCAGGTGGGAGAGGCTGCTGTAAACGGACTGACTGGGCCGCCTGTCAGTGCTGTGAGGCGGGGGAGGGGCCGGCGGCATCACACGCAGCTCGTTGAGAAGAGTAGGGACGGTACAGTATGGACAAATGACAGTCTAAAAAAATCTCCAATAACAAAAAAAGTCGCTAGATTTGTCGCTAAGGGGGTCTGAAAAGTCGCTAAATCTAGTGACAAAGTCGCTAAGTTGGCAACATTGGCGGCAAGCAATCAGAATTAAGTAGTCCACCGCTTGAGAGGTGTTCAGAGAACACAGACGTGTGAACTTTGGTTCCGACCACAGTTGTTCCCAAGAGTTTGATTATTGCGTTCGCCGGTGGATTTTTAATTATTGAAAATCACGACGACGCAGGGCCCCCTAATCACGCCGGACCCCCCCCCCCCGTGGTGCGTGCCCTGCGGGCCCGTCCGCTACGCCACTGGAAACGTACAACCAAACGTACTTTAAGTGATGTATTTAATGAATTTCAGATTTGCAAATTTGTAGACAGTACCTCTAGTGGATTTGCCATTTAAAACGTGCAATGAAATGTACCTTAAATAATGTTTCAGATTCACAAAAATGTAGACAGCGCCCTCTATTGGATTTGTCATTTAAAGCATGCAATGAAATGTACCTTTAATAATAAATTTCAGATTCCAAACAACGTAGACAGTGCCCACTAGTAGATTTGTCATTAGAAACGTGCAATGAAATGTACCTCAAATTACGTATTTCAGATTCACAACAACGTAGACAGCGCCCTCTAATGGATTTGTCATTTGAAACATGCAATGAAATGTACTTTAAATTACATATTTCAGATATGCAACAATATGGATAGTGCCCTCTAGTGAATTTGTGATATAAATCGTGCAGTGAATTGTACCTTAAATAACGTATTTCAGATTTGCAACAATGTAGACAGCCCCTTCTAGTGGATTTGCCATTTAAAACATGCAATGAAATGTACCTTAAATAATGTTTTTTTGATTCACAAAAATGTAGACAGCGCCCACTAGTGGATTTCTCATTTAAAACGTGCAATGAAATGTACATTAAATAATGTTTTTTAGATTCACAAAAATGTAGACAGCGCCCACTAGTGGATTTCTCATTTAAAACGTGCAATGAAATGTACCTTAAATAACATATTTCAGATTCACAACAATGCAGACAGCGCCCTCTAATGGATTTGTCTTTAAAAACGTGTAATGAAATGTACCTTAAATAACGTATTTCAGATTCAAAACAATGTAGACAGCACCCTCTAATGGATTTGTCATTTGAAACATGCAATGAAATGTACTTTAAATTACATATTTCAGATTTGCAACAATATAAATAGTGCCCTCTAGTGAATTTGTGATATAAATCGTGCAGTGAATTGTACCTTAAATAACGTATTTCAGATTTGCAACAATGTAGACAGCCCCTTCTAGTGGATTTGCCATTTAAAACATGCAATGAAATGTACCTTAAATGATGTTTTTTAGATTCACAAAAATGTAGACAGCGCCCACTAGTGGATTTCTCATTTAAAACGTGCAATGAAATGTACCTTAAATAACATATTTCAGATTCACAACAATGCAGACAGCGCCCTCTAATGGATTTGTCTTTAAAAACGTGCAATGAAATGTACCTTAAATAACGTATTTCAGATTCAAAACAATGTAGACAGCGCCCTCTTGTGGATTTGTTATTTAAAGCGTGCAATGAAATATTCCTTTAATAATGAATTTCAGATTCCCAACAATGTAGACAGCGCCCTCTAATGGATTTGTCATTTGAAACATGCTATGAAATGTACCTTAAATTACATATTTCAGATTTGCAACAATATGGATAGTGCCCTCTAGTGGATTTGTCATTTAAAACGTGCAGGGAAATATACCTTAAATAACATATTTCAGATTTGCAACAATGTAGACAGCCCCTTCTAGTGGATTTGCCATTTAAAACATGCAATTAAATGTATCGTAAATAAAGTTTTTTAGATTCACAAAATGTAGACAGCGCCCTGTAGTGGATTTGTTATTTAAAACGTGCAGTGAAATGTACCCTAATTACGTATTTCAGATTCACAACAATGTAGACAGCGCCCTCTAGTGGATTTGTCATTTAAAACGTGCAATGAAATATACCTTAAATAACGTATTTCAGATTTGCAATAATTTAGACAGCGCCCTCTAATGGATTTTTCATTTGAAACGTATTATGAAATGTACCTTAAATTGCGTATTTCAGATTTGAAACAATGTAGACAGCGCCCTCTAATGGATTTTTCATGTAAATCGTGCAGTGAAATTTACTTTAAATAACGTATTTCAGATTTGCAACAATGTAGACAGCGTCCTATAGTGGATTTGCCATTTAAAACGTGCAATAAAATGTACCTTAAATAACGTATTTCTAATTCACAACAATGTAGACAGCGCCCTCTAGTGGAATTGTCATTTAAAACGTGCAGTAAAATTTACCTTAAATAATGTATTTTAGATTTACAAAAATGTAGACAGCGCCCACTAGTGGATTGCCTATTTAAAACATTAAATGAAATGTACCTTAAGTAAAGTTTTTCAGGTTCCCAGCAATGTAGACAGCGCCCTCTAATGGATTTGTCATTTAAAACTTGTAATGAAATGCACCTTAAATTATCACCTTAAAAATCGGATTTGCAAATGTGTAAACAGCGCCCTCTTGTGGATTTGTCATCTAAAATGTACAATGAAATGTAACTGGAGTAACTTATTTAGCGTTTTGCTAAAAATGCACGTATTTCCAATGAATCCAGGCTGGTTATTTTTGTTGTGTGTATGTGACTGTATTGAGACACAGTTGTGTTTGCTAGCAGTAAATGTCACTGATGTTTATTGGATCATGTTTCAGCAAAAGGTTTGGCTGAGGTATTGCTGTTTGTTTATCTCCCGAGACTGCAGTGATGTCGAAAAGTTCAGAATGCATTATAGGTTGTTTCCACAGGCATTTTTTGGTTCTGCAGAGTTGTATTGTATTTATTGAATTATGTCCAACAGTGTAAATGGATGCAGATCTGTTTTTTTTTTTATTGAAAATCATAAGCATTTCAAAAACACCTAAGGAAAATGTATTGCATTTCAGCATTCTGCCAGCTCCTTTATTTTACTGAAGCTGATTCAGTATTATTAATGGTAAAGTAAATTAATTAAAAGTAGTAAAAACTAAGAAACAAACAAAAAATTAAACATTGCTGTTTGACTGAAATAAGCTAAACTGAAATAATAATAATAATAATAATAATAATAATAATAATACCTTTTATTTACAGGCACCTTTCAAAGCACTCAAGGACACCTTACAATATGTCACAGGCACATTATAAAAACAAGACAGATGAGTAATAAACTTAATATTAATACAGAAAAAATAAGATAAAAAATAAAATAAAGATGTTTCCTAATTTTTTAGTAAAATAACTACAGTAAATGTAATTATTTAAAAAACTTAGACACATAAAAAAATTTTTTTATAACAAACAATAGATTTACTAATAAATTTCACGAAAATGAAAACGGAAAATATGTTAAAACATACAATACAAAAATACACATTTAAATAGTTTTCACCTTTAATTACAATAATTACATCAAAATAATAGTTTTAAACATTTATTATTAACATTTTATTATGGATTTTTAATAGTTTAAGATTTAGACATATCATTTAAAAAATATACATAATTAATAAATAATTGTAATATTCACATTTTTTTAATGGTTGCTAATTTAATACCAGTTTCTTTTTTCATTGCCTTGATGACAGTACATGATATTTTACTGTTTACTTAATGTGCAATTTAAAGGCTTAACTGGCTTAATTAGGTTAACTAGGCAAGAAAAATAGTTATTTAGGTTAATTAGACAATTAGACAACATATTTCAGATACGCTAAGATGTAGACACCCCCCTCTAGTTGATTTGTCATCTAAAACGTGAAATTAAAGGTCCCCTTAATAACATATTTCAAGTGTGCAAGTATGTAGACAGCACCCAGAAGATTTGCCATTTAACGCCTGCCCTCGTCTTTAACTGTGTATTACACTGCGTCTAAATTATTCACCCTCCTGTGAATTTTGCTTTTCAAATATTTCCCAATATTTTTGACTGATATATATCCAAATATTTTTCACAGTATTTCCTATAATATTTTTTTCTCCTGGAGAATGTCTTATTGGTTTTATTTCGGCAAGAATAAAAGCAGTTTTTAATTTTTTTTAACCCTTTTTAGGTCAAAAATATTAGCCCTTTTAAGCTTTAATTTTATTTTAATAGTCTACAGAACAAACATCATTGAACAATGACTTGCCTATTTACCCTAACTTGCCTAATTAACCTAGTCAAGTCTTTAAATGTCACTTTAAGGTTAGTACTAGCTGTCATTATGTCAAAGAAAAAATAAAACAGTTATTAGAAATGAGTTATTAAAACGATTATGTTTAGAAATGTGCTGATAAAATATCGTTTTCCGTTAAACAGAAATTGGGGCAAATAATTCTAATTGAACAGGAGGGACTTCAGCTGTGTATATGTATGCATGCATCTGTGTAGTGTGAATGTTTTTGTTTCAAATTCTTCATAGACAATGCTGCACTAATGATCTCTTGTGCTCCTCTTCCCGCAGGCTTCGGCATGAGCACCCCTGTGACAGTCGCCGGGAAGATTTTCCTGATCTTCTATGGTCTGTTAGGCTGCGCGGCCACCATCCTCTTCTTCAACCTCTTCCTGGAGCGCATCATTACCCTGCTGGCGGTGGTGATGAAGGCTGTGCGTCTGCGCCGTCTGCGCACCAGCGGCCTCCTCCCGCCGGGAATCTGCCAGGACTTTGCCGCCAGCACGTTACCAGGCTGGAAGCCCTCGGTGTACCATGTCATGCTGATCCTGGGTCTGTCAGCCATCGTGATCTCCTGCTGCGCATCAGCCATGTATACCCCAGTGGAGGGCTGGGCGTATGTGGACTCGCTTTATTTCTGCTTCGTCACTTTCAGCACCATTGGTTTCGGGGATTTGGTGAGCAGTCAAAACGCTGCGTACGACTACCAAGGACTCTATCGGCTTGCCAACTGTCTGTTTATATTGGCAGGAGTGTGTTGCATCTATTCTCTCTTCAACGTCATCTCTATTGTGATTAAGCAAGTCCTCAATTGGATGTTGGGGAAAATGAGTTGCCTGTGCTGCCAGAGATGCAACAAAGCTAATGCTTTCTTAGGACGCCGTAATGCTATCAGACCCGGTTCTAGACTCAGACGCGGACGATTCGGACAGACGCCGGATTCCGATGGGCCTTGCGATAGCGATACCGAAGGCCGACGGCTTTCAGGGGAGATGATCTCCATGCGGGATCTGACGGGATCTAATAAAATATCTCTCGCAATTATGCAGAAACAGCTGTCGGAGTCTGCTAATGGATATCCCAGAACGGTGTGCGGAAGTTCACGACAGAATGGATTTTCAGGTGGCGTCGGTGCGCTTGGTATCATGAATAACCGATTAGCAGAAACCAGTGACTCTAGGTAGGGTTAAAGTCTCCAAGAAATGAAGCGAATCCAACTCTCTCTCTCTGGAAGTTGAGCAGTTTTTGGGTCGTGTCGAAATTCGTCTTGAGCTCGTGTAGATCAGCATGGCTTGCATGAATCGTGTAGGATCTCCTGTAGGAATTTTGGGGATTTTGGCTTGCAACAGAATGTGTAGGAAGCAATGAAGCATTCTGAGGATATCAGAAAGATCATATTTATGAGTTGGAAGTCATAATTACAAGCAGGAAGCAAGAAAGGTTTGTGTCAGTTACGTGAAATGGAGAGATGGACGAAGCTTTTACGTTAATAGTCAGTTTGTTTATGAATCAAATTATTGCATGTACAAAATATCTTATTATAGTTGATAGTATTTCAGTATATAACATATGAACAAATGCATACATGAATTCAATGCACCTTATTAACCATTTAGCTCTGATTAAAGCATCTGACGTTGTAATTATGACTTCCCAACTCGTAAATGTGAACTTTCCAAGAGGACTTTGCATTTTCAAGTAACTAATACTTGATTACCCAAATCATATTTGCTAGAATTTGTAGATGATACTGTAGTAAACAAACTAAACCTGAAGAAATGATCTGAAGTTAGACTTAACTATACTACCTGTGGATGTTTGTAGGACATGAGTAGAGCTTTTCAAATCTCAGCTAAAGAAAAGTAGCATCCTTTTTTACTCCACACTCGATTTACAACTATGCATCATCGTGTTCATGTTGCAAACATATTTGTTTTCATTTTTAACAACAACTCAGAAAAGGTTTGCGCTTATATATTTATTTTTTAAATATGCAATATTTACAGTTTAATTTTAGATCAGTTTTAATGATTTTTGTCAATTCGGTTAGTTTATTTTAAGTAATTTTTGTAACACTTGATTTTGATGGTCCCTATTTTGTTCCCTGTTTTGTTGACTAAAAGTTGCAGTGAACTATTCCAATTACTTCTTCTAATTTGAGTATTAGTAGACTGTCTGCTTAATTAAAAGCTGATATTGCTCCTTCAACAGATATTTAACTGACTAGAGGAAACTTAGCAAGTACATGTCAACTTACACTAAACCCAACAGTCTATTCAATTCAATTCAGCTTTATTTGTATAGCGCTTTTACAATGTAGATTGTGTCAAAGCAGCTTTACATAAATGGTCATAGTAACTGGATCAGGGTAGTTCAGTTTTTAGTGTTTAAGTTCAGTTCAGTTTAGCTCAGTTCAGTGTGGTTTGAAGTCATTATTGAGAGTCCAAACACTGAAGAGCAAATTCATCGATGAGTAGCTTTTCAGATCCTGAACCATGCAAGCCAGTGGCGACACTTATAAGTCTACTTATAATCTAATGAGAACTAGTTGGCATGTAGATGCAATGCAACTTAAGCTCCACAAACAGACCATCAAAATAAAGTGTGACCATCATGTTTATATTTTATAAATAATTTTATCTATATATTTTTTTTAATTGAAAACTAATCAAAATACCGATTAAGATTAAATATAATCTTTGGCATGACTTGTATGATGCATTATAAAGATATTCATAATATAAGTTGTAATGCACTGCATCTTCTCATAAATAGCTACCAAAAAGTTCTAAATTGTATTTAGTAAACATAATAAGCCGATAGTATAAATAATACAAAAATAGTAACCAGATCTAAACTGCATTATAATACTTGATGATTTGTTTTAATATTTGAATGCATTATACTTTCAATAGAAAGTTATTATAATGTGTGGTCACAATTATTCATGAGATCAAACGCATTATTGAGTACATTAGAAAAAATAATAAATGCATAAATATGCCTTTTTTGATTCAATATATTTGTAAAATTCCTTTATTTATTTATTTATTGTTGTCATGAACTGCACTAAAAAACTATTAATTGGATTTAGGGTAAGTTGCAATTTAAACAAACCGATTGTTGCAGCAGCTTAATGTCGAAGGCTTGGCATCTCAACGTACGTTTTTACGCACACAACCAATGTCCAGTCTTGCTTTCTCTTTAAGTTTAAATTCACTTTATTTAACTTATTATAAATACATACTTGCAATTAAATATGTTGAACCCTTTAGCGACCTCAAAGGTGTGTGAGTTTGGTGTGGTAAAAACTGCATGCGTTCCCTTCCTCAAGTCTTCTTCTCTCATGCAAGAAACACCGACTTTAAAACCCTATGTGCACATATTGCCCCCAAGTGGTGACAGCCCAAATTACATTTAAGTCAACATATAGGCTCCTACACCGATTAAAAGTAGTAATGTTAAACTTTATTTAAATTCAGTCCGTATAAATTGTCTGCAACCACTTACCTTAAAAAAAATTTGTAAATCCAAAGAATCATCTTTTTTTAGTGTGGTTTTGGGCCATTTTCAGAATCCGTTTTCGTCTAGAGCAGTGGTCCCCTACCTTTTTATCACTGCGGATGGGTCTGCACTTGACAATTACCATGGACTGGGGGGAGTAGGTCGGTGGTTCGTAGGTTGCTAGGCGACCATATCAATCGTTTTCTCAGAGGATGACAAGCTGACAAAACATTGCTGTCGCTCTGATACAAGTAGAAAATTACAAAGCACTGCAGTGTTTGGGTGTTTGTCTGAGATCATTAGTCCACTAAAATGTGTATAATTCACACAAGCTGAAGCTGATCAGTCAGTTTTTGTCACGTGACTTACGGTGCCTTCGCAGCATACATTCAACTGGGTGCGTCTGGAAGCCACTTGTGCATGTAAGGCGCACAACTCCATGGGAAATTACGAATTTGTGCAAACTCTAGAAAAGACGCGATATGGGAATGTTATTTGTGATTTCCAGCAGTTGATCTACTTTCACAGGTTTGCTAGATTCACTTGGTTTGTTGCGGATCCATTCCTTGGCAGTTCGCGGGTCCTTCCCTGGGCCTTTTCCAATAGCAAAGAAACTTTACAAAGACGTCTGATTTTGCTGCATGTGGATCAGTTTGGGCGCTCAAGTGACCAAGATGTAAGAGAATACGGTCATTTTTAAAAATAAAATATCATTCAGACTCAGATAATAAATAAAACGGAAATAATTAATGATTTCTTGTGTGGCGAGGTACCAATTGATCCACGAACCAGTGCCTATTTGCAGCCTGGTGGTTGAGGACCACTGATCTAGAGCTCACATGCTCATATCCAGCATTACTTAAAGAGGAATTGCAGAACAAAGTCATAATCGTGTACAGTAGTTGCAGATGACAGTACAGTGTGCAGATCAGTGGATTGGGAGGTTGTGAATTTGTACTGCACAAGCGAGTGCGTTTATTGAAGCCGTTCACATCTGTGTTCCTGTCGATAGGGATCTTATAGCGAAGGGGTGCCGGCGTTTGAGAAATTGAGCTGAGGCTTTTTGCAGTGTAATATGATGAGCAGAGAGGCGCTACTTCAAAGCCAAACTCTGCGGTTCCCCAAAGAGCTGGAGAGATGGAGAGAAAGAGAGAGGGAGTGAAGGAGAATAAAGTGAACAGAGAAAGCATCAGCCATCTATCAGTGGGCAACTAGACTTCCAGCAGAGCTCAGAGCAAACTACTTCTGTCAGAAATCAGAAATCCTCACATTCGTCCGCCCTTCAAAAATCCCCCCAAATGATGTAGGATATCACTAACACACTCCACAGATCAGTGCGTACCAAAAAAGTGTAATGCAAAGACTAAACGTTTTCAAAATCGCATGATCATTTTCACACGCAGGGCTTTACATTAACACCCACTAAATGCGAGTAGATTTCAGCCGTGGCGGGAAAGACAGACACCCCTATTAGCCACTTTGGCTGGTTAAAAATAAGTTTCCCAGATAATTATTCTTAAAAGCAGGGTTCGTCAATAAGGATGGTCCAATATGCATGCAAAGGCGATCTTAGAATTGAGAAGCAACACAACTGACAAAAATGACTGCGTTCGCAAATTCGTGCGAGGAAAGCAGGTGAATACCGAATGAGGATGATCACGCGCGCTAACAGCGACCGTTTCTTTTCGTGAAGCAACTGTGTCTAAAAAACACAAATGATGCGATCGGTTCTCTTTCAAATAGACTACAAAAAAAGTTATGAACATGCACCCACAGTCTTACTGCTTTCAAGATTTCCAGAGTTGACTTATTGTAAGCAGCGCCAGTTGCTTTCGCTTTAACCATTATTTGAACAGAGAATTTATGGGTCTAACATTACCCGTGTGTGTGATCATCCTTTCATTATCACTCACGGTATGTTTTTTACCTGCTTTATTTTGCGTTAAAATGGTTTAATTATCATTTAACATTTACAATAACATAGCTTTAATGGGAGAATAACTCCACATTTATTTGTAGTTAACTGGTGATCTGGGACCTTTAGCTAGGACAGATTACTGTGCATATGTTTTGTTAAATAAAAAGTATAGTATACAGCTATATTTTAGTTTTTTTGACACATGTAAAATTTGTGGCTAAGAAATAATTAATTGTTTATGTTTGGTGTGGTCAGAGATACATTCGGTAAATCCTTCATTTTGAGCTCTGAAAATGAAGTGAAATAAAAACTATTTGTAATACTATGAAACCATGACCCGTTTGCTCATGATTATTGAGCAAGCTCATACACAACACACACGAAAAGTGAAATGAATGAGAAGGCATGTAGTGGACATAACGCAAAGTCTAAATCAAGTCATTTTAGCATGTCAAAGTCAAATTTATTTGTGTAAAATATATTTTCCCAACAATGTAATTGTGGCTTGTGAAAATGGCGAGTGGCTAGTAATGTTGGAAAACTACTAGCCACAGTGGCTGGTGATCAAAAAAGTTAATGTCAAGCCCTGGTCACATGTGTAGAAATCTGATATATGGCAAAAAAAAAAGAAAAAATCTTATATCAAGAAGCATTTTCTAGAAAAGAAAAAAAAATTCTTCAGAAAAAAACAAGTCAAAAAAACAAGCGGCGGTGGTTTGCACTAGGGATGCAACAATACAGTTAGCCCACGGTTCAATACAT